TCCTCCTCCTCCTCCTCCTCCTCCTCCTCCTCCTCCTCCTCTACCTCCTCCTCCTCCTCCTCCTCCTCCTCCCCATCCTCCGCTGTGAGGACTGCGCTCTCGGCCCCTGGGGCGAGTGGGCGCCAGTCGGCGGCTGCTCCGGGCTGTGCAGCCGCTCCCGCGGCGTGGCGGTGGCGGCGAACGCGTGCGGCAGCCCGTGCAGCGGGCCCACGGAGGCAGGGCGACGACGACGACGACGACGACGACGACGACGACGACAACGACGACGACGGCGACGAGGACGAGGGCGAGGACGACGACGACGACGACGACGGCGACGAGGACGAGGGCGAGGACGAGGACGAGGGAGACACGACGACGGCGTCAGCAGGCGCAGCAGGCGTACGCATCTGATCTCGGGGGCAAGGCCCACGGAGGCAGGGCTCACGTCGGCCCCCCCGACTCGATTCGATTCGGTTTCGCTCGGTTCCGATCTCGATTCGATTCGGCTTCGGATTCCGATCTGGACCTCAGCCTTTCAGTGGAGGCCTTACTAGCCTGCTGATTCCGCCGCTTTGAATTCTCACGGCTTGGCTGCCGATCTCCCCAGATCCGGTTCTCGCCGATCGCCGATCCCACTCATCGATTCGATTCTGGACTCTGCCGCGGAGGTCGCGGGCGACGCAGGGGCCCCTGGGGGTGAACGATCGTGGCCCAGGGTTTCGATGTTTTTTCGCTTCGAGGTTCCCAGACATGCGACGTCCTGATCTTGTTCAGTACGACGTCCCCGGAAGTCCAGACCCTCTCCTCAGTCGGGAGCCTTGAGATGGGGGTCAATGCAAACGGGGGTCAGCCAGAGCGCCGGGTCTTGCAGGATCCTGCAGGGCCTGGGTCGCATTGACCCGGGTTTGGGTGCATGATCCTGCAGGGTCTTGCAGAATCTTTCGCGTTGACCCTGGTTTGGGTGCAGGATCTTGCAGGATTCTGCAAGGCCTGTCTGACCCGGGTCTGGATTGACCCGGGTCAGAAGATCCCCGACCCAGGGCCGGTTTTGCTTCCTGAGTTTTTTTTGACGCTCCCGGGGGCCGGCGGCCGAAACTAACGAAACATTTGCCGTCCTGATTGTTTTACCACGCGCTCGTGTCTGGGTTCGAGGCTGCTGGGACTTCTTAGGAGGCCACGTGCGAACCCTACCCCCACCCTCCACGGTTTCTGAGGGAGAGGGTGGGTTCACTTCGTTCGGGAGCTCCCGAACGAAGTGAACCCCACCCTCACCCTCAGAAACCGTGGGGGGTGGGGGTAGTCGAGGTAGTCGCTCGCCTCGACGACCCCGTTGGAGGGCCGCAGCACCACGGCGTCGTTCACCTGCCTCACCTCGCCCCGCCCGCCGGCAACCCTTGCGAGCTCCTGCCGCATGGTGGCTGCTCACGGACAGGCCGACCCCCATGGCCACCGCCTTGGCCACGGCGTGCTCCAGCACGTGGCCCCCTATTTTTCCGCTTCGGCGGTCCTCGGTCGTTGTTGTTCCGGCCTCTGCGGGGTACCTCCTTCCAGCGGCCGCGCCTCGCCGCGAGGGCGCTCCGGGGGGGGCGGCCCGCCCGCATCGTCGCGAACGGCGAGCAGAGTGGTGGCCCGAGGAGGAGGAGGAGGAGGAGGAGGAGGAGGAGGAGGAGGAGGAGGAGGAGCAGGAGGAGGAGGAGGAGGAGGAGGAGGAGGACGACGAGGAGGACGACGGGGAGGACGAGGAGGACGAGGAGCGAGGAGTGAGGAGCGAGAAGGAGGAGGAGGAGGAGGAGGAGGAGGAGGCTCTAGCTGCCCAGACCCCTTCGCGTAGTGACAAACACGACGGGAGGTTTTTCGCCATTTTCGGCCCCCGGGGGGCCTGTACGGGGAAATCCCGGAAGCGTCAAACAACGATTCGCTAGGATGCAGCACCAGTGCCCGGGGAAGGGGTCCAGATTTTTGGGGCCGACGTTGTGAACATAATCGCGACGTTGGGGGTCTGGGTGTTGTGTTTGCCTCGGGTCCTCGCCGGGACCCGGGCCCGTTGACAGACGGCCCGGGATGGAGAGAGGCGGTCCCGGGAACGGGGCCTCGGGCGAGTGGTGATGTGAAGGCGGGCATGTCCCTCTATAGGAGGGGTATTCAAAAGCAGTCAGAAAATAGTCTGGAGACGATTTTTCGATTATGTTCGACTATTTTTGAATATTTGCTGGCTAATGGGGGGAAACGATTAAAAAAATCGCCCCCCCCCCTGGACCCCCCAAAATGATTGAGTGTGGCTGACTCATAGAAATCAGCCGCCGGAAACTGTTTTTTCTATCGTCCGCCCCCCGGCGTTTGCTTTTGCCCCTTTGGGGGAACTGATTTTCTATTCGTCCTCCTTCGCTTGCTTGATCACCCGCGGCCGCGGGGGGAGGATTGCGTAGGGGGGACGGGGTAATTAGGGAGTAGTTGAGGGAAGGGATTTTCGAAGAGGCGCTCGATCACCCTCGTCCTTGCGGACGGCCGCCGGTCGTCCTTGCGGACGGCCGCGGCGATTGGGAGGTGGGAGCGAGGGCAGAAGGAGGAGGAGGGGGAGGAGGACGAGGAGAGGGAGGAGGACGAGGAGGAGGAGGAGAAGGAGGAGGAGGAAGAGGAGGAGGAGGAGGAGGAGGAAAGGGAGGGGACGAGGAGGAGGAGGAGAAGAAGGAGGAGGAGGAAGAGGGAGGACGAGGATGAGGCAGGAGGGGGCGCGGAGGAGGTAAGGAGGAAGGAGGAGGACGAGCCGCGCCCTGAAAAAATCACCCCGTCTCCACCCCGTGGGCCCCGCCCCGCGCCTTGTGGATGCCACTCCCCCCCGTGCCCCCCCCCCCCCCCCCCCCCTCTGGGCTTCCAGCAACACCTGGAATTGTCAGCCCCGCCGTCCTGCCTGCCCTCTTCCCCGCCGCTAAAATTGGCGGCGGGCGAGGGGGGGGGCGGGTTGCGAAAGAGGCCCGCGAAACAATTGTTTGAATCGTCCGCCCCAGAAAGTTTTTTAATACAAAGATCGTTTCCCCCCATTATTTGCTCTATCCTCCCTTGGTTGGGTTCTCGTTTTGAATAGATCACCGCGGTCTTCATCACTCACTCCTCCCCCCTCCTTCCTCCCTCCTTTCTCCTCCTTTTCGTTTTCTTCCTGGGTGGCTGTCATCTGCGAAATTGTCGCCACTGTCGTGGGTTCCTGGGAGGGCCAGCGGAGTGACGTCTTTCCCGGATCGCCACGAGACCTCGCCGCCCCCTGGGTGGCTGCGGTCTGCGACACTGTCGCCACTGTCGTGGGCTTCTGGGAGGGACCAGCGGAGTGACGTCTCACGCGGATCCCCGCGAGACCTCGCCGCCCCCCGGGTGGCTGCGATCTTCGAAATTGTCGCCATTGTCGTTGGGCTCTGGGAGGGCCACCGGGGTGACGTCTTTACGCGGATCCCCGCGAGACTTCGCCGCCCCTGGGGTGGCTGCGATGTGCGAAACCGTCGCCACTTTCGTGCCTGGGTGTCTGCGATCTGCGAAACTGTCGCCACTGTCGTGGGTTACTGGGAGGGCCAGCGGAGTGACGTCTTACGCGGATCACCGCGAGACCTCGCCGCCCCCTGGGGGTCTGATCTGCGAAATCGTCGCAATTTTCTTGGGCTGCTGGGAGGGCCAGCGGGGTGACGTCTCACGCGGATCGCCACGAGACCTCGCCGCCCCCTGGGTGGCTGCGATCTGTGAAACTGTCGCCATTGTCGTGGGCTCTGGGAGGGACCAGCGGAGTGACGTCTTTCTCGGATCGCCACGAAACCTCGCCGCCCTCTGGGGGCTGCGATCCAAAAGCTGTCGCCACTGTCGTGGGCTTTTGGGAGGGCCGGCGGAGCTTACGCGGATCCCCGCGAGACCTCACCTTCCCCCGGGGGGGGGGGGGGGCGATCTGCGAATATGTCGCCGCTGTCGTGGGTTTCTGGGAGGGCCAGCGGAGTGACGTCTTACGCGGATCGCCACGAGACCTCGCCGTCCCCTGGGTGGTTGCGATGGGCTTCTGGGAGGGCCAGCGGAGTGACGTCTTACGCACATTCCAACTAGCACGCCGCCCCCTGGGTGGCTGCGATCTGCGAAACTGTCGCCACTTTCGTGGGCCCTTCGGAGTGCCAGCGGAGTGGCGCCTTGAGCACATCACAAGTAAACATGAAGGGATCGGCTCGGTTCGGTTCGGTCCGGTTCTGCAGCCGGGTCGGTTTTGCTTGGCCGGTTCGGTTTGGCATCGGTCCGGTTTCGGCCGGTTCGGCTTGGGCCTGCCGCCGGTTCGGTTCGGTTCCGGTTTTCGCGCGGTTGGGTCCGACCGGTTCGGTTCGGTTCGAGTGGCCGCTCCGGTTCGGTTCGGCACGACTGGTCAGGTGCGACGTTGGGCGCCCCGTCTGCGTAAGCGACGACCCAGTTTGAAAAAAAGGGAGGAGGAGGAGGAGGAGGAGGAGGAGGAGGAGGAGGAGGAGGAGGAGGCGGAGGCGGAGGCGGAGGCGGAGGAGGGAGGAGGAGGACGACGAGGAGGAGAAGGAGGAGGAGGAGGAGGAGAAACGTGGAGGCGTGGAGGCGCGAGGCCCTCCAGCGACGTGCCCCGACGGGGGTCGCAGCCCCGAGGGGGGTCGCAGCCCCGAGGGGGGTCGCAGCCCCGAGGGGGGTCGCGCCCGCGAGGGGGGTCGCGCCCGCCAGGGGGGTCGCACCCGCCAGGGGGGTCGCAGCCCGCCAAGGGGGTTGCACCCGCCAGGGGGGTCGCGCCCGCCAGGGGGGTCGCAGCCCGCCAGGGGGGTTGCACCCGCCAGGGGGGTCGCAGCCCGCCAGGGGGGTCGCGCCCGCCACGGGGGTCGCGCCCGCCAGGGGGGTTGCACCCGCCAGGGGGGTTGCACCCGCCAGGGCGGTTGCGCCCGCCAGGGGGGTTGCACCCGCCAGGGGGGTTGCACCCACCAGCGGGGTTGCACCCGCCAGAGGGGGTCGCGCCCGCCAGGGGGGTCGCGCCCGCCAGGGGGGTCGCAGCCCGCCAGGGGGGTTGCACCCGCCAGGGGGGTCGCAGCCCGCCAGGGGGGTCGCAGCCCGCCACGGGGGTTGCACCCGCCAGGGGGGTCGCAGCCCACCAGGGGGGTCGCGCCCGCCAGGGGGGTCGCGCCCGCCAGGGGGGTCGCGCCCACCAGGGGGGTCGCGCCCGCCAGGGGGGTTGCACCCGCCAGGGGGGTTGCACCCGCCAGGGGGG